CACACACACACACACACACACACACACACACACACCTGTCAGCCTTCATTCCCTCTCCTCCAGGCACTTTACTCACAAGGGAAAGTGAATCCAGCATTGGAGAAGTTCTGCAGGTAAACGGGCTTGCATTTGAAGCTCCTGCAAACTTCCCCATGGCTGGATTTCCCTTCGCCTCCCCCAGCCTTCATTCCCTCTCACTCCAGGCACTTTACTCATGAGGGGAAGTGAATTCAGCATTGGAGAAGTTCTGCAGGTAAATGGACTTGCATTTGCAGCTCCTGCAAATTTCCCCATGGCTGGATTCCACCACCACCCCGCCCCAGTTCTTTCCCTCTCGCTCCAGACACTTTACTCAGGAGGCGAAGCAATACTTCTAGTGTCCATGAAGAATCCAGCCTTGGAACACTTTTACAGGTTAACGGACCACTGCTCCACCCACAGTCATGTGTTTTCAAGTGGCTGCTTGAAAATGCATGGCTAGGGCAGGGGAGCAGTCCTCCTTTAAACTGGGGCAGCAAGCATCAAGTGAATGGAAACTGGGCGACCGGGTTGGGGGCGTGGCCAGCTAGATGTTGCTACCAGTTCGCTGACCCACACCAAATTGTTTCTACTGGTTCGCCCAAGTAGGTGCAAACCGGCTGAATAGCACCTCTGATCTGTATAAGTAATAAAACTATATATATAAAAAATTAAGGTTCCCTGAAGAAAAGTTTGGTCCTGATCACTGAAAACAGAACAAAAGTGCTTTGTGACTGACTTCTTTGGGGAATTTTCTAGCACCTTATTGTAGCCAACAACCCACAGATTTCCTGGTAGTGTCCTCCCTCCCCCACTACTAATGGTATTTGATCAACCAAGATCAGTGTAGCCCATTAATGCAGAAAAGGTAATATTGAAGTCAGTTTTATGTAACATTTTGATATAGTCTAAAAAAAGAGGGTTAGAGTCAACAAGTTCCCATTTTGTGGAAATACAAACTCATAGAATAAAACATTAATGAAATGCATAAGAGATAACTTTATGCCAAAATGACTCTGCTGACATTCTGATCCCTTTCCTTCTTTCCTTCCTTCCTTCCTTGCTTGCTTCCTTCTTTCCTCCTCCCTCCCTCCCTCCTTTCCTTCTTCCCTCCCTGTCTTTCTTCCTTCTTTTCTCCCTCCCTCCTTTCCTTCCTTCCTTTTCCTGGGCCTCAAGGTGGTACACAAAATGCTGTCTTCCCATTTCCACCAACAATCACAACCTTGTAAGATAGGTTGGACTAGGAGAAAGTTTTCAAAATCACTCAGCGACCTTCAGGAGCTATAGTGGAAGGGAACCCAGGTTTCCCCAGTAGCAGTCCAACCTCTTTTTTCACCAGAATCCACCCAAAGAAATGCACCCAATTTAACAAATGCAAACACATTCTCTTAAGCACCTTAACTGTGAACAAAATAGTTACTTCTAATTATATTGCAAAGGGTGATTTGAACAATTTAATTAATCTTATTTTAAAATGTACTACATTTTAATATAATTGAACACATTACCAAGATGTTATGACACCACCTATAGGCACAACTGCTTTAGAATAATGCAGTAGTGAACATGAAACAGTCTCTATTATAAAAGGCTTGTTTTTAAACATAGATATGCATATTCTATTGCATAAGAGCCAGTTAAAGCACTAGGCTAAAAAGGAGAGATTGTGAATTGAAATCCTGCCTTAGCCATGTAAGCCAGTTGGTGACTTTTAGCCAATCACTCTCTCTCAGTCCAACCCATCTCAGTGGGTTGTAGAGAAAATAGGAGGAAGAAGATATGTTGATATGTTTGTTGCCTTGAGTTGTTTGTAAAAATAATAAAGGTGGGATACAAAAAAAATGTATTATCAAATAAGAGTTTACCTTTTATGGGACAATATCCAGTTAAAGATTCTTTGTCCACATCCGAAGTTGTTCCACACCAAAGTCGTTTGTGTTCATCATCATCAACTATGCATTCAGCATACCATTTATTCGTATACTTGAAAGGAAACTTGCAAGGTGCTCCGAAGGCATTGCCGTCTATAGTAAATAGAGCTATAAAAAAGAAATCCAACAGATTTATCTTAGATTGAGAAGTACTAGTATGAGAGTAGAAATGCTGTACAAAAATATCTCTAGATTTAGTTCTAAGGAATGCATACAGTTTGTGTATATTACGTGTAACCATGTTTATATATTTTTCAGAATTTATATCTTAGAATATAGTAATCCTACATTCATTTAGTCATCCATTCGTTTAGTGACCATTCAAAATTACAACAGCATTGAAAAAAGTGACATGACTGTTTTTCCACTTATGACTGTTGCAACATCCCAATGGTCATGCGAGCAACATTTGGATGTTTGGCAACTGGTTCATATTTATGATGCTTTTAGTGACCTAGTGTCATATGATCATCTTCTGACAAAGTCAATGGAAAAGCCAGATTCACTTAATAACCATGTAACTAACTTAACAATTACAACTACTTTCTATGGCAAGAAAGGTTGTAAAATGAAGCAAAACACATTAAACAACTATCCTGCTTAGCAAAAGAAAATTTGGGCTCAATTGTGGTGATACATTAAAGACTACCTGTTCGATTTTTTCTCAGATAATGTAAAAGACAACAACACTAATATGTTAAAGGACAGCTAGGTAACAATATAACTTGAAATTATACCTTTAATATCCAATTTATTTAAATTTTCAGTTAAAGAGATTCAAAAAAGAAGGAAGAGAATTTAAGTAAGCAAATTCAACAACAATTAAAGTTCTAATATTTACCTTCATATTTCTGGTCACACAAGCTCTTCTTTGTTCCATAGATCTTCCAAACACTTTTTGTGGTGGGGTTATCTGATAATATAACCCTAGTCCCACGCTCATCAGCAGGATTTAAAAACAGATTTTGTTCTTGTTGTGGTGTTGGTGGTGCAAGGGCAAGCAGCGTGTCATTTCTGCATTCCCACTTTTGTAATTCAACAGTTTCATTACAAGGTGACAGTGTAAGTGGTATCATTTTTGTTTTTGAAGACACGCTCAAGCATAACTTCTTTGCCATATTCAATATCTGATATTCAGATACCCACTTAAAATTTTGGTGATCGTTGTGCTTGTTGCAGATCTCAAGGGAGAAGGAATAAAATTCTTGAAGATTTAGGCAAAGATCAAGTTTTTCATTGTGTATCAGAAAAGTGTCACTGTCTATAAAATGAACCAAACAATAATAATAAATATCAAGTAGCCACATTCATGCTCTGTGTCCATATGTGTATGTATATAATTTTTCCCATAAAAACATAAGAGTTTTATATGATCACTATGTTTTCCATCTTCTATACATTTTAAATATTGAAACAATGCTATTCTATTTCAGATTTCATCTATTTAATTTTAACATTTTCTATTATTAAACATTAAAATATAGCAAGCAGTAGAGAAAAAGAATTGTTTTTTTTAAAGATATAAAAAATTTAAAAAAGATAATTTCTAAAATATTATTTAGATACAATCAATAATTGTAGAGAATGCATCCATACATTAGTGGTGAAGAAAAAGCACAAAGAACTGAAGAACTGTGATTGAATAAAAATAAATAATAATTGAATATTTAAATAATTGAATTTAAATACATATATTTTAAAACAATATAAATAATTGAATAATTTTACCTGATATTTGAAAAGCTGGCTGAATGAGAAACAAAAAATTTAGGAACAAAAAAGTAGGCATTGTAAATAATAAAACATTCCAGAAAACTACCCTGAAATTAAAAACCAACTGAGATAGCTTCTTTTAAGGAACTCCTTTATATATGAGGGCAAAGAAGACAGAAGTGTTTAGTTCTTCCTTCAGTGTTATGAAATTTGTATTGTAATAACTAGGACTATAAATAATACTTGGCTTCTATGTAAAAGACCTATTTCTATAGAAATTTCCTCAGGAATTTAGTTAATCATTAAACAGTCATCATTCATATATCTATACATGCTTACTCTACATGCCTATTAAACTATTTCCTTTGAGAATAAGAAACAGTTTATATGAAATGAAATACTATTTATTCAGTCAGTGACTAGAAAAATTTGAAAACATATAACATAAAAAAAAAAAATCAAATGGATGAGATAAAAAAACCAGCATAACAAGGAGTCTCTATTATAAAAATATAATACACAGCTATGGTGATGTAAGTTATGGGTGCAAGTATAAATATAAAATACTATAATCAAGTAAAAATAAGGTGAAGGTAAAGGTTCCCCTCACCGCTGGGCCATCACGTCCCCAGGTAAAAACACATATCACCTAAAACAAAATAATTAACAGGTAGTAAATCTTTTTTCTATTTTAGTTTTTATTCAAAAAACTCAAAATATAAAATTGTCACAAACTGGATGCAGCATTCCAAATGAAGACTTACCAAGACATTATAGAGTGGTATTAACACTTCACGTGATCTTGATTCTATCCCTCTGTTAATGCAACTGAGTTGGCTTTTTTGGCTGTTACAGCACACTGCTGGCTCATAGTTAAATGGTTTTCCACTAGGACTCAGAGATCCCTCTCACAGTTACACTGTTGAGCAAGGTACCACATATATTGTACCTGTGCATTTGATTTTTCTTGCCTAAATGTTGAACCTTACTTTTTTCCCCGTTGAATTTCATTTTGTTAGATAGCACCCAATGTTCAAGTCTGTTGAGATCCTCCTGCATCTTAAGCCTATCTTCTGGAGTGTTGGCTATTCCTATCAGCTTGGTGTCATCTGCAAATCTGATGAGTTCCCCATCTACCCCCTTGTCCAAGTCATTGATGAAGATGTTGAAGAGTACTGGGCCTAAAACAGAGCCTTGGGGTATTTCACTGCATAGTTCCCTCCAGATAGATGCAGTTCCATTGAGGATTACACATTGAGTATGGTTGGTCAGCCGGTTATGAATCCATCTGGTGGTGATGCTATCTAACCCATAGTTTCTACTTTATCTAGTGGTAGGCTATGGTCTACTTTATCAAATACCTTATTGAATCCAATTAAATTATATTAACACATTCTTCTGGTCAACTAATTTTATCACTTTGTCAAAGAATGCAATAAGATTAATCTGGCATGATCTGTTTTTAACAACCCATGTTGGCTTTTGGTTATTGCTTTGTTTGCTTCTAGGTGTTCACTGATTCATTGCTTGATTATATTTTCCAGAATTTTCCCTGGTATTGAGGAACATCAGGGATGTCCTTTATTATTTATTCTGGTGTTTGGACTGTTAAACAGGAACATTAGAAACAAAAGGATAAAAGGATTGCAAACTAAAGTGCACAACTATACACAGGGCTGAGCTTCAAAAATTTTTAGCAAGGGGTTCTCTGTCCAGTTGTTGGTTGGGTGTGGCCATGGTGGACGTGGCCTAGTCAATCTCCTGCATAATGGTAGGGAGGGCATTTTTGGCTCCCTGGGCTCCAGAGTCTCTCTGGAAGCTGGAAGGCCCATTTCTGGCCTTCACGAACTTCTGGGAGGCCCGTTTTTCACCCTCCTCAAGCCTCCACACATGCCCTGCACTTACCTGTATCCAAAACGGGGTGTGTGGAGACTCCTGAGAGGAGAGGGGAGGGGTGGTAGGGCCAGCCAGGAGTGGGATTTGGGGGTTCTCCGAACTGCACAGAATCTTAGCTAGGGGCTCTCCCAAACCCCTGCAAACCCCCAGCAGTCCACCCCTGCAACTATAAAGTTCATGCTTTTTTAAAATAAACGTTGTCCTTTATATCTTTAAAAACCAAACCAAAAAAATATACATTATATGACATTAACATTTTGTGACATCTATCTCATAAACTTCTGTTTTGTGCTTATTTACAAATATACAATTTATGTGAATGTAAATCATTAATCTATAGGTTGCTTATAATTAATTGTAGAAATGGGAAGATATTTTCTGAATATTTCTTTATTTCTTTTTGTCAATTGCTCACAAAATAATAGGTATAAGTAAAAACATAGTTATGAATACATGGATACATATAAGAAAAATAAAAAAATAAAAGAAACAATAGGACAGGGATGGTAGGCACATTGGTGCACTTATGCATGCCCCCTACAGACTGCTTAGGAAAGGGGTGAGGACAATAGTAGACAGTCTCAAGTTAAAGTTTTGGGGTTTGGGGAAGAAACCACAGAGTCAGGTAGAGTATTCCAGACATTGACCACTCTGTTGCTGAAGTTGTATTTCCTGCAATCAAGCTTTGTGTGTTTAACCTTGAGTTTGTATCTTTTGTTTGCTCTTGTGTTATTATGGTTGAAGCTGAAGTATTCATTGACAGGTAGGACATTGCAATGTATGATTTTATATACTATACTTAGATTGGACCAAAGGTGGCGTAGTTCTAGGTTTTCTAGGTCTAGAATTTCGAGTCTGGTGGCATAAGGTATTCTGCAACAAGTAGAGGAGTGGAGAACTCTTCTTGTGAAATATTTCTGGACTTTCTCAACTGTGTTAATATCAGATACGTAATGTGTGTTCCAGACTGATGAGCTGTATTCAAGTATTGGTCTAGCAAATGTTTTGTATGCTCTAGTTTTTAGTGTAATATTACCAGATAAAAAGCTACTTAAGATTAGGTTAACAACTCAATGCCTTTTTGGCTATGTACTTACAGTGGGCTGTAGCACTTAGGTCACTAGAGATGAGTACTCCAAGATCCTTGACAGAGTTTGGATCATCAAAAAGGTCTTGACTATTCAGCCTGTATTTTATTTTCTGATTTTTTTTGCTAATATATAGGACAGAGCATTTATTTCTTGAGATTTGAAGTTGCCATTTGTTTGACCATTCTGATACATAGTCAAGGTCTTCTTGAAGGGTAACAGTATTGTCTGTGGTGTTGAATAGCTTTACACCATCAGCGAAGAGAACGCAGTTGCTCTTAATATGATCACAGAGGTCATTTATGTAGAGTATGAAGAGAGTTGGTCCTCGAACACTGCCTTGGGGGACACCACTATTGACAGGTACAGAATTTGATAGGACACTCCCAATTTTGACCATTTGTTGTCTGTTTGACAGGAATGCTATTATCCAGTTATGCAAGTGTCCAGAGATACTGTAAGATTTTAGTTTTAGGAATAGTTTGTCGTGTACCACTGAATCAAACGCTTTACAGAAGTCTATGTAGATTGTGTCTATTGCTTTGCAATAATCAAGTTGTGTAGTCCATATGTTTTTGCAGTGTAAGAGTTGCAGATTACATGATAGTTTTTTCCTGAAACCAAATTGTTTATAGAGAGTAGGTTGTTTGTTTCTAAGTGGAGGATAATGGATTGGTTAATAATTGATTCCATGACTTTACAGGTGACACAGCATAAAGAGATTGGTCTGTAATTTTCAACTAGGCTGGGGTCTCTCTTTTTGAAGATGGGGATGACCGTGGCTTGTGGCCATAGTTTTGGCAAGGAGCTGGTCCTGAAAGATTTTTCAAAGATTATGCTTACAGGTTCGACTATGGCAGTGGGTAGCTTTTTTAAGAAGTAGGCACATATTTTGTCCGGTCCAATAGGTAGAGATGATTTTAGATTGCGTAGTGCCTTTTCAAAATTGTCTTCTGTAAAATCAATATGTATTAGATCATTGTAGTTTTCTGTGGTTCGACTAGGAAATACTGGGCATGATCCATGGCTGTTTTCAAATACTGAGCCAAAGAATGTGTTAAAGAGGTTGGCTTTAATAGTGTCGACATTGCAGTCTTTACCATTAGGTCCTATCAGGGGTGGGATGGACCTTGAGTCTTTTAGTTTGTTGTTTACAAAATTGTAAAAAGCGTGGGTGGAATTGGTGCGTAGAAGGTTATCCTCTTGTTTAATGTAATAATTGGTGCATTCAGTCTTTATCTGGTGGCATAAATTTTTATATCGGCTTTTGAAGTTGTCACCCTTTTAGAATGCAATGTTTATCTACTTCTCTTTCCAACCAGATCTCTCACAGGCTTTCAAAGTCCAGGCTTCTATTTCTAATGGTCCATTCTCATTCATAAATACCAGCTTTAGAGCTTAAACTGTGAAATTCTACTCCTTCGGGTATTTACACATCTCATTCATTTTTGGGTGAATAGCATGTCCCCACTCAGAGACAAAATGAGGACTATTAAATACCACATATGGATGTTTATTTATGTATTATTTGTTGCCCATCTTTCTGTAGGGCTACTATGGTTGTTTACAACAGTAAGATGTAAAATGATATTTAAAAAAGATGTAAATACAACAATAGTAAAAACACAGTATCAGTTTAAATAATTATAAGAAGCGTGGAAGGGGGCAGGATGCACATGGAGGAAGTCTAATAGCCACCTCCAATACGGTATTTCCCCACTGGGTTCCTGAGTCAACCATCAGATCTGGTTGGAGAATACCATACTGAAGGTGGCTAGAACAGTCTTTGGGCTGTTACAGATGGACAGGTAGATGGGAGCAAACTTCCCCCAGGGGTCAGTTCCAAAGGATTGGATTCTCCTGGACTCTTCCTTGATCGACAGGATACATAACAAGTCTCCTATGTCAGCATGAGCCCTAGGGCCTGTCCTAGACAGATGAGATGGTTCTCCAGATAATCTGAGCACATGTAATGGAGGGCTTCAAGGATCATAACCAAAACCTTGAACTGCCCTGAGAAAAAAACCAACATATGATTTGCAGAGTAGCGCTCTAACAAGAGCTCTTCTAGGGGCCCTAAAAACTGCTCGTG